TGGCGGGGAGAAGCCGCGTCTGGGCGCAGTGATAGATCTTGAGGGCTGACGTGGGTCCGGCTGCCCTTAAAGCCCGCCCAGGAGCTGGACGCCCTTTTCTGTGCTTATCACCTTTCCCTGTATTTCGCTTTTCAGTGCTCGTGGTGTCCATAAAACATTTGCTTGAAAGAAACGTTCCAGTCTCACAGCCCCTGGAAACATTTAAAGCAGAGCTTTGTGGTTAGTTAAGTGATAGATCTTGAGGGCTGACGTGGGTCCGGCTGCCCTTAAAGCCCGCCCAGGAGCTGGACGCCCTTTTCTGTGCTTATCACCTTTCCCTGTATTTCGCTTTTCAGTGCTCGTGGTGTCCATAAAACATTTGCTTGAAAGAAACGTTCCAGTCTCACAGCCCCTGGAAACATTTAAAGCAGAGCTTTGTGGTTAGTTATAATTCGGGTGCAGTCAGACCACATTGTGTTTATACCTGTGAAGGCAACCTGGGGTTCGGCCCTGAGAACCTCGGTCCATCCGGCCTGATCCGAGATAGAGCATGAGAGGCCAGAGCAGGCAGTGCCTCTGAGGAGAGGGTGCTAACGCTGCAGGCCAACGGGCGAGCCGGGAAGGCAGCGGGATATCCATGGATGTGGCAGGCACGAAGGCAACAGCAGCTCTACAACCCGCTGCAGTCTGCGTTCCTGCCAGTGCCCTGAGCCGCAGCCTGAACAGGCTTGAGATGTGACCTGTCTCACTTCAGAGTTTGTCAGTGCCCCCTCAGGGCCTTGGCCTGGTCTGAACCCAGCGTTGTCTTTGCTGGTCTGGAGGGCTCCTCCACCAAATCCTCCAGCCTGGCAGTCATCGCTGACCTGGGGGCAGGTGGCCCGAAGCAAACTTGATACCTTTGTCTCCATCTTCAAGCGAAATTAGGAGACAGCAAGATGTGTGTTGATTAAATGTGGCCTTTCCTTTTGATCAGACATCACCCCAAGGTGACCATGTAGAACTGGTGGAGAGCGTGAGCCAGGAGCCGGAGAGGCAGCAGGCGCTGAGCCCAGGAAAGCCTGGTCACAGATCCCAGCCTGCCCCGGAACCGTCTGTGACCCTCTGGGAGATGCAGGAGGTGAAACTTCCTGCAGTCCTTGGAGTTCTGTGTTACGTGTGGTTGAGCTGTACAGAAAAGGTTCCTACTGGTGTAAAGGTTCCTTGTATATAATGGATGCTGGGAGACTTGGAACAAGCAGAATCCTCACGTGTCCTTCTTCACTCTGGCTTGCAATGGGATTGGATAGGGACAGCAGATTTGGAGGCAGGTTTTTGATCCCCCTGTTTGTAAGACTCCGGTTCAGATATGACCGAGCCTTCACTTGTGAGTGAAGCCCCCCCCGCCAGACCTATCCCCTTTAGATATAAAAGGGGCTGTGGGCTGCAGCCTCAGCCGGTGTCTGTCCAGCAAAGCCTGTGTCCCACAGCAGAGCAGGGCTGCTCCTTGGGATGCTCCAGCAGGCACAAACTAGGTCAAATACGATCTAAACCCATGCTTGATATCCCTTGAACTAAATTCCTGCCCTGTTGACAGAGTATGGCCCAAAGAGGGTTATGACTCCCTGGCTTACTGGGAACTAAGAAGGATGAGCAGACTTTACTGCTGTGCTGTGTAAACAGAGCTAATACGGTCAGCCCAGCCTCCTCCCGTGTCCAGCACAGCTTCCCTGCAGAGGGATGTGCTCTTCCCATGTGCTTTCCTTGCTCCTCTGCCCTGCTGCCTTTGGAGGTCAGGACTGACACCAGCACCAGAAGTTGAAGGGGGTGGGGGGTGTCTTTGGAGGAGGGTGAGGGCCTCGGGGTGGCCTGGTCACAGCTGGCCCATGTGAGCTCGTCCTTGTCCTGCGTGGAGTGTCACAGGCTTCACGTGCAGGCACTAGTGGTGCTCGGCTGTGGGGAATGTTCAAGTACTGCTCTTAGGCACGTGGCAGAAATTTGGCCAGCACATCCCTGTGCTGACTACCCCTGTACTGAAATGCCCATACAGGTGAGTCATATTCTTGAGACCAGGCACATCCCTAGACTAAAGCTTTGGGAAACCTCAGTGGAAATTACAGAATTCTCACTTACCCGGCAATGCAGGCCTGTCCTTATTGCTGTTGGTACAAGGTCTCAGACTAGTCTATCTTTTCAGATCATTTACAATCCTCTGTGTCTATGAAAATCCTCTGTTCTGAAGGTGAGCGCAGTTCTGATTCAGCATAAAGGGAAGTATCAGCCTTAGAAAACCTTGGATGAAACCTTGGATGAAAGCTCAGGCATGGATCCACTCTAACAACGGGACTGAGCCTTGTGGTGCAGATGGGAGCTTAGAGCATCAATTCCTTCCTTCTCTTGTCTGCTGGGAGGCCAACAATGTGGCACAGAAGCTGGAAGATGAATCCTGAGCGACATCCAGATGAAACCAGACGTCAACCAGAAAGCCCACTGTGCTGGGCCAGACTTACCCTGCTGTAGCTTTCCATTCAACCCCAACCTTTCCCTGGATCTGAATAAGCAGTGGGACTGTGGTCCGTGCTGGTCAGCCTCGCATTTGATCTGGCAGGACGCAGCAGTGGCTGAGCTGTTGCTGGCATGACAGGACTGCTGGGAGCCCAGCCAGTGGCAGCAGCTGATTCAGAACAGAAACTTGCACATTAATAAATGTCTTGTTACAGAGGCTTTCTTCAGCCTCTTGGCTCTCCTTTTCCCTTTTAGCCCCCAGCTTTATGTCCCTCTGGCTGTAGCACTGTGGAAAAGCTGTCTCCTAAGAGTGTGAAGCAATGTTTGGAACAGGAACTGGATGGGAAAGTGTTAGTGAGCTGAGACAGCTGCATGATAAGTCTATCCTGCACTGCTTTTCGGGTATATGGTTGAGTGAGATGAGTATTTTCTGAAGTGTCCTGCTTTCTGATGTCCTGTTCCTCACTGTTTTTCTGGTGAGGCTGCATTTGCTACCATAGATCCTGCTTGTGGCTTCCTTGGACAGGTAGGTCCTGCTGGAGTTGCCTAGAAAAAAGTTCATTAACAGTCAAAATTAGGTGGTCATGGAGGAACCACATCATAGAATAACAAAGTGCAGCTCACTGCCTTCCACACTGACATAGAAACCCCCTAAATTTCCTCCCATGAACCATAGCTCCCCAGCTCAAGGCAACATCACCAATACTGCAACAGTAGAAACACAGTCTCACAGTTCTTCTGTGATCTTCTTGTCTCCATCTAACTCTTGAATTAGTTGCAGAGGAGACATCCAGCACGGCCATTTCTCTGACTGGAGCACCAATAGAGATGAAGTGGCAGAGCTCTGCTACTCTGAGGTTCTCACTCGACATCTGTAACCAGAGGAGCAAGCTCGATCTCCACTCCAAGACTCAACACGTGGGAAGGAAAGGCACAGAATAAATGACACTTGCACAAGATGCTCTGTATGAGCAGGTCTCATGTAAAGGCCCGTGAGAAAAGGCAGCACCCGGGTACTTCACACTTCATGCAGGTGGTAGAAGAAATTGATGGGCAGGTTCAAAGGCACCGCCTGGGATATTTTTCTCAATGCTTTGCCACCTTTCAACAACTTGTCCACTTTGCTGATCCCACCATTTTACACCTAAATCATTTATAAACGCTCCCTGGAAGAGAGGTGAGTTTGAAGGACAGTGAAAAGCAAGGGGAGCAGAAATCCTGTGCTAAAGCAGGGCCCTGCAGAGAGGGAACCAGAGGCCTCCAGCACTGCTGGAGCGTCAGACACTGCGTGATTAGGACAGCACCCAGTGCTGTGCCCCAAAGGCAGCCCCTGTCCCTGCGCTCCGCGCTGCCCAGCACGTCCCCTCTCGCAGCAACGCCAGCTGCCACCCAGGGGTATAAATAGGAGTAAGCTGAACTGCCAAACGTGGCCATTTAAGTGGCCTTCCAGCTGGATCAGCCCTAGGATCTCTCCCCTGAGCCCATCCATCCTGGCACCATGACAGCCCAGACAGTTAAAACTACTTAAGAACGTGATTCATCCTCTTGCTGCTCAGTGTGTTCCCAGATGATGCCCATGCCCTGAGCTGCTAGGAGCAGCTAAAGCACTTTTGCCTCTTCTTTCCTACCTAATATCTTAAGGTAGATCAAATGCAAAAACACAGGAAGCCTTTTCCAGCTATGATTTGCTGGCAGCAATACCAGGCCACTACTGGATTACTCTGACTAAAGCTCCAGGCCCAATTCCAGCACTTCATCTCAGCACACAGGAGAGAAAAGGCGCTTGCCACTGAAGAGAGGCAAAGCACAAATCTGTTACTGGCCATTTTGTAGAGACACTGCAGGGATTGGCAGTGTGTGGAGTGGGTATTTGGGGTTGCTTGTCCAGGAGCGTAACCTGTTATCAGATACCACTTAGAAAATTCTGCAGTACATCAGCCTCTCTTCTTGTTTGCAGCCCCAGGTGGCAGTCTGGCTCTACCAGAGATCAATCCAGGCCAAACTCTGGTTTCAGAGGAAAAATGCAAGAAGCCTTGAGGGAGCAGAGGCAAGAAAATCTCCATTTCCTTTATCTCTGCTAGATCTGACTAACAAATATATTTCGTTTAAAATAGCCCCTCCGGTTTGTTAGCTGTGCTAGCATGGCTATTTTTGACAACCACATTCAGATTCATGCCTTCAAAGAGCCTAAGAAGAATGAAAGACAGTTTGTACTTTTATTATTACAGTTTAATACAGTCTTTGATACAGGAGAAGCAGCAGTAGCCAACATGCAAAGCAATTAAAGTTATCAGGGCTCAAGAAAGATCACTAACAGCTCAATTCCCATAAGGAACTGCTCTTTCACAGCAGTACCAATGGTCACATAGCACAGATGAATCTTTAGGAGCCCATTTCCCTACGTGCTGCCCTTCAACCATGCCCCACCACTGTGAAGAATTCATCACAGGTACCAAACCAACACATGACAATTAGGAGGGAGACATGGTTTTGACTTCTACCTTTTGATAAGTTAGTTATTTGATTACAGTTTGCTAAAAGTGTGCTTTTAAGTCTTGTCTCTGCTGAACAGTCTACAGAGAAGAAAGATTCTTCATAAAGAGGCGATGACTATCAAGGCAGGACATTAAGCTCAGACATTTGGCTGTGGTTTGTCTGTTCCACAGAGATGGGACCTCTTCGAATCAACAGATATTTTCAATGCAAGTGATGGATGTTTAGCATAAAGATTTCAAACAGCATAAGAGAAATCTTTGCGAACAAGTAGAAACTGATGTCCCCATGAAGAAAGAGGTGCATCAGGCCTGGACTCTGCCCTTGCAGGCAGCAGAACAAAACCCCACCCGACCCCTTCAAGGCAGTTCGTCTGAAGAGACTTCATGTCCTCCTGCACCTCTTCCTTTGGCAGGCCTCTGCATCTGAGCCACAGGAGCTATCCGAGTCGCTTCCCGATGAGGAGGAGGAAGGCTTCAGCGTGCTATAGTTCATGCTCAAGACCCACCCAAGTTTGTTATGTAGCACTTGCTTGAGTCCTGGTGGCAATGGCAGCACCTCCAGTGTGTCCACATAGTTAGGCAGGAGCTGGCGCAGGCGGTAGCAGCAGAGGTACTGGAGGGACGTGCAGCTGGCGCAGGAGCGGATCACCTTCATGCTGCTCTTGGCTGCTGTCGAGCACACCATGGGGTAGAACTTCTTGTTCTGCAGCTTGGTAGCTGCAACCCCTGCCAGGGGACAGCAGCAAGGAGGTTTCTGTTAGTTTGGACTAGGGCCTATCGTTTCTCCCACCTACCCCAAATGTGTTAACTACAAAGCTGTCAGGAAACACCTAGAAAATGGTCTTTTGAAATCCAAATTGATTTAGCAAGAAATGTAACTTTCCTCCCACTCACTTCATGCCTTGATTCTTCTATTTTGCCAGTATTTTCTGCTGCAGTCCAGCTGCAGCCAGACATGCAGCTCAGCTAACCATGCAGTGTTTAGCTTCCCTCCATTTTGGTCTCTATGCCCAACGCTGGTGGGGCTGCCCCTGCTCTTACCTATGCACTTGCGGTTTTTGAAGAACGTGAGTGTCCCATGCCACGTGTCCAAGTGCACCCCAATGATGGAGCCCTGGCCAAACCTTGAGGAGAAGTTTGTATTGTCTCCCTTGTGATGCAACAGTCCTTAAAACAGTAAACCTTACATTCAGTAAAAGGCCTGTGTTCCACAAATTCATCCTAACCTCCATACATGTCACCACAAGTTCCCAACTGGTACTGACTTAGCCACTGGACAAAAATCCATTGCTGCTTCATCACTCGTTCACTCTTCTCCCACCCCAGAGTGTGGGGTGAAAACAGGAGAGGATATTGAGGCTTTGGCACATCAGGCATAGGTAGTGACATGAAAAACCCTGGATCAGGGCCATGCAACCTGCAGTGCAGAGTCCTTAGAGTCACGCACCAGCTCTTTGGGTTTGCAAAAGCCAGGTAAGAGCCAGCTTGTATTTGCTGTAGGCAGCTAGCTCAGTGAGGTAGCCTGGGCCTCTGGGACTGCCTGAGTCTGCAGGGCACCGTTCCACAACACTGGCTTGAAGTTCAAGTGGTTGGTACTTCCCTGGGTCAGTATGAACGAGGAGGCAAAGGACACCTGGGGCTGCCGAGTACCTCTGGGTCCTCCCCTGAAGGGCTTCTTTGAGCAGAGAAGCCCAGTGAGGTGATAGACCCCAAGAGCTGGGAGCAGCCCATCCTGCCTGGCCAGCAAGGGAGCGCCTGGCACAGTAGCAGGGCACATACCATGCCAAGGCTGACTCCCTGGGTGTGCAGTAGTGCTGCGGAGAGAAACAGCCCACTGCATGCACTTCAAGCACATAGAGAAGCCGGTCGCAGGCAGCAGCTCCAGTTCTACTTGACAAAGAGACTGGAAGCCGTTTTGGCCTCAAGCCAGTACAGAGCATTTAATTCTCAAACTCACAGAAAACGCTTAGGCCTCTGCTGGCCTTTCAGCCCTGCTGTTCTCTGACACTGCCCTGCCTGGATTACCTGTGTAGGAAAGTCCCCAGCTGTCTTCATCCTTGCCCAGCAGACTGCAGAAAGTGTGCCGGTACTTGTCCAGATTCACATCCGACGTGCCAATTCCTACCATCTGGAGGGAGGCAGGTCACAGGAAGAAAAACACAAGTTCTTAGTGTCTGCTGCGGGCATCAAACACTCTTAAAGCAACAAAATGCAACTGAAATTCTACCTCCAGGTCTCCCTTGATTTTCTTGGCCCAGTCCACCAGGCTGGAGTCTTTGGTGAAGGGTTTGCCCTGCACTGGGAGTGCTCAGCAACTGCACTGGAGAGGGGCATCCTCAGCAGAACTGGGGGTTAACGGAGCTGTGGCCTCTGCATTAACAGCAGAGCGCAAGGCCCGGCTCCTGGCCACAAGCCACACAGGCTGTGACAAAGCCCTGTAACCATCACCAACCCTGCTGCAGTTAAGTACCAGTGCCAAGGAAAGGGAAGTAGCTAAGCCCCAGTGCACTAACCACACACCTCCCTGGACACTTTCCATGGCTCAGGTTGCGCACTGGTGTGGCCCAACCGTGCCGTTTTGTCGAGTATATCACTAACGACCTACCAACAGCACAAAAAAAGAGAAGCAGAAAAGCTGGGTTCTGGTCATGACTGCTGTGTAAAACTGCTTACCCTCCTGGCTGCAGTTCCTTACAGCAAATGAGGATATCCATGTGAACTGCAGGGTGGAGCTTGCTTTCAGGTTAAGGAATTGCAGCAGATCTCTGTTAGTTCAACATACCATGTCTGTGCCATAGACTGGGGAGGTCATCTTGATCTCCCAGAAGTGCTGCCCATCTGCCAGCTCTTTGTTGCCCCGGATCGCCGCCGTGCCGCAGCTGTACTCCATGTGGAAGTTCACCTTGCGGTTGTCGCAGGTCAGCAGCGTGGCCGTCGACTTGTTCAGGTCGTCCCACACCCAGTCAAAATCTGCTCAGGAAACACGCAGGGGAAAACATGGGAGAAAGCACTTCGGGAGCCAAGATCAAGCCAATGCACAGAGTCAATTGTTTTGAGGGCTGATCAAAACTCTTTTGTTTTCACTTTTATTAACTGTTTAGAAGGGTCAATCCTGAGCTGTACCAGCTGGACAGTTATTTAAGCCCTGAATTATTCTGCAGTGTCCTAACAGGGATGGTTCAGCTGGGCTCTGGTGACAGCAACAGCAACGCAGAGCAAGGTGGAGCCCTGAGTTTCTCTGGAGAGAATCGTGCTCAACTCTTGTAGGCTCCAGGGAACAGGCAGAACACAACGAGCACCATGTAGCTCCCCTATCCTACGTGTTTTCTTGCATGTCTAACCATGTCTGACCACACTCTCTTGGTCAGGCCTGGTCCACGCTCTGTCTGGCCTTCCTCACCTGCTCCGAGCAGGCCCTGCCATGTAGTAGCTGGGCACCCTGCCAGCTGCATCAGGGAGCAGCAGCAACAGGGCTGCAACCACAGGGACTCGTTTCACTTTGGCTGGAGCTAGATTTGAAAACAGGTCTCCAGAGGTAAACTCTGATTCACTGACAGGTTCAGCCCTGAGCCCTTGAATCACCACAGAGTGCAAGCGGTCATGGCCCTTCCAAAGGTCTGAGCACGCCTGAGCGGTGAACAGAGGGGCACCGCATGCAGCGACGGGGATAAGGATCCCCATGCAAAACTAAGCATCTCCATGGGGTGGGGGAAACGGTTTGTGGCACCGCTCAGCCAGGAGGAGCAGGACCAGGACTGCACCCCAAAGGAAGACGAGGGGCAGCTGAGGAGCCCCCCTCACTTACACTCGTCCTCCTCGCCGCACTGGCAGTCCTTGACGCGGTGCACGGCATGGAGGCTGGAGCAGTAGGGAGCCTCGCTCTGGTTCTCGCAGTTGCAGTAGGATTCTCCCGTCACAGGGATGGCGCTCGGGATGGAGGGAGAGAGGGAAGAAAACTCCGGCTCTGAATCCGAGTCACTGTGCTGCCGGGGAGAGCAGGGGAACAGTCACAGAATTGTTATGGTTGGAAAAGACCTGCAGGATCATGGAGCCTAACTGCTACTAACACCTCCACGGTCAGAGCTGGACCATCCCAAATAAAGCCCATCCATGCTGTGTGGGGAACCTGTACAAAGGGCTGTGCCCCTGCTGCCAAGGCAGAGTGCCAAACTGCCAAAAACCTCCGCTCCAAAGAGACCGAGAGCTGCAGGACAAGAGAGAAAAACAGGACGAGGAGGGAAAGGGCGAGAAAGGAGGCAGCGGAGCCAGCAGGACAAAGCAGAAGTGGCTGCACAGGAGGCTCTGGCTCCTCACAGCAGCCAGGGCTGCAGAGCGTGAGCCCTTCGAAGCATTAAAAGGCTTTTGCTGCATTTCATGCACAAACACAAAAACTTGATTTGCTCTTCCCCAATGCCAAGAGACTGAAGCATCCCTGCACCGGACACTATAAACGCTCTGTCCCACCCCGTGTATTACGGGAGGTTTGGTGTCACCTGATGGAGTCTCTCTCACCGCAGACCACAACGAGTTGCTCCGGGTCTACGCACGGGTCGGATACACCTGCTCATTACTCACCTCACCCCAGTGCCCGCAGCAGATTCTGTGTCACTACTTAAGGACAAAACCCTTTCAAACTCGTGTTTCTTTAGCAGCATAAGCAGGACTTGAAAAGACTCAGGCTTACTTATCTCCTGCCAACCCTGCTCCTGTTCTAAACCTGCCCTGTGCACTATAAAGCTCCACTCCTGTCTTTCACTGCCCCTCCATACCTAGCACTCAAGAAACCTGCCTGCTCCTGTTGCTGTGGAAGAGCAGAGAATGGGTTCGTTTCCTCCGAGTGCTACGTACAGCTTTGGACACAACCCTGTGGCAGTGATCTTATAATGCTACAGCTTTAAGCATCAGGAGCAGTTCCTGCTGTTCCCAGCACTGCACACGCTGCCTGGGGATTGAACTCCCACACTGAAAGTCTGCGAAAAGGCTGAAAGGGGCAGAGGTGAGTCTAACTCACTCCTCCTTGCACTGTGTTCCTAGCTGCTTTTCCTGCTGTATTCCCATCTTCCAGCACATCTGCACCCTGGGGCCACGTTCACAAGTGACATAGACATTACAGACTGGGAAGCATAAGCGAATTGAAATTAAAAGGTATTCAAATAGGAATTGAACACAAAACACTCCACAAAACACAAGTTGCACGAGGACAATAATTAGCATGGCGAAACAGCAAGCCAGATCAGAGAACTGATCTAGTTTAAAAGTGCTTAAAACCACCTGTTTAAAGTTAAGATTACTGCTTAGAGGGTATACATCAGAGATGTTTTATAGGCCAAAGACACACACTTTATACACTTGAAAAAAGGGTGAATTTAGCATAGCACCAGTGAATTCCCTTGGCCCGGGAGGCGTCGGGCTGCGGCGCGCACCACGGGGCAGGCTGTAAGCAGCTTAGCTGACCCTCTCATGCCGACGTGCTCGGGACCCCGCACGCTGGAACGCGGGGCTGGACCGGGAGCTGCCCCCGTGCTCGTTAAGCAGCCCGCAAGGGTCTTCTCCGACTC